ACACAGCCTGCTTAAATGTCCGCGATATACATTACTGAGGAGGAAAAACTTCCTACCACCGCTGGGGATCCTCGTGGAGCGTCGCGTGATCTGGCGTCGCGTGATCAGCCCCGGGCCGCGTGAGGGCCTGGAAATGCTGTTTTTGGTTACTAGTCTGCACCCGAGGAGCAGCTGTTTATTGGAGTACTATTTTTTAAATAAACAAACAGATGTATGTGTATATACATGTATATGCACACACACACACACACACACACACACACACACACACACACACACACACACACACACACACACACACACACACACACGCACGCACACTCACTCACACACATATAAATATATATATATATATATATATATATATATATATATATATATATATATATATATATATATTTATATACTCGATGGGGCTTCAAAAAGTTCGTGGAAAAAGGACAGTATGAAAAAATGGTTTCAGTTATGATGTTTATTTTTAACATATGCTCCATTAAGGTCAATACACTTCTGCAAACGTTGATACCAGCCTTTAAGTTCGGTTGAGTAAAACGGAGTGCCATGTGATCTGAACCATGTCAGAGCAGCTCTTTTTACATTTTCAAGTTTTCAATGATTTTTAAAAGTTTGGAAATAAAAAGAAATCGGGTGGGGCTGTACTTGCCTGTTGAGCGTTGTGTGCAGATGCATTGTCGTAGTGGAAGAGAACACATTGATGCAGCTTTCCAGGGAGTTTTATTGAAAACAATTTTGAGCAATTTTCTCAAAACGCATTCATAATAAGCAGCAGATGTAATTGTTTTCTTGTTCTCGAGGAAGTCAACCAGCAAAATTCCCTCTGCATCCCAGAAGACAGTGGCCATAACCTTTCCTCTTGACTGGTCCACTTCCACCCCAGGGTAGCCACTGCTTTGATTGAATTTTGTCCTCGGGATTGTACTGCTAGAGCTATGTTTCATCCCCCGTCACAATTCTCTGCAGAAAGGCTTCAGAGTCCTCATCTTACTGAAAGATTTACCCTTGTTTGCTGCTGATCTGGGCATAACAGCCTAGGAACCCATTGAGAAAACTTGCTTAACCCCAAACTCTCCAGCATTTATTGTGCAGAACCCACAGAGATGTTGAGTGTGTCTGCTACTTATTCAGTGGTTATTCATCAATCCTTCAATGTTTTCTTCACAAACTGATGTTGATGGCCTGCCACTGTGGGGCTCATCTTCAGTTTCGTTTCTTCCACTTCTGAATCGACTTATCCATTTATAAGAACTCACGCACATACACACACACACACACACATATCCATTCAAACAACCACTTGAACTTAAAAGAAATAAAAGCAAAGTGACAGACAAACAGAAAGAGAACGTGAGAGAGAGACTCAAATAGAAAGATGGGACGAATGAATTAGAAAGAAAAAAAAGAAAGAAAAAAGAAAGAATAAAAAACGCCACATGAATTAGAAAGAAAAAAAGAAAGAAAAAAGAAAGAATAAAAAACGCCACACTCATCATGGAACCACCCTCCTCTACTATGACCCGATGTAAGTTTATACCCAAACCGGAAAAAAAATCAAGTGTACAGCGTCTTGGCTGGGCTGTCGACCTTGAATCCCGGGCTGCCATACCGCAGTTCGGCTTCTGGAGCTGCTTGGTAAACAGTGTGTTGTTCGCCCACCTCGCAGAAGGATACGCGCTGCCAGGTTGGTGTGTGCGACCGTGTAGTGTGGGGTTATTATTGTTATTATTTATGGAAAGGTGTTTTATAGTGGTTTATAGTTATCCTTCTCATGTGTATGTTTTTTTTTTTCTTTTCTTTTCTAACTGGGTGATTGATTGTTTAGGCAATTTCGTGTTGTGTTTGGAAAAGGTGCATAGAGGTGTTTAGCTATTAGTATATTACGTTTTTTAAAAACTTTTCTGCGACTACTGCTAATGATGATGATGGTAGTACTGATAATGGTAATGATAATAACAACAATAACAAGAATAATAACAGCAATGTTTCTCTGCGACTTAGAGCGGAAATTCCACAGGACAAGTACAGAATTTTCTACAAATGGCACACCCTTTTTTCATCTCTAGGATTTTGAACCAGTTTGATGTTGAATGATGATAATCAATAATAATAATAATAATAATAATAATGATAATAATATTAATAAATCCATTATATGGATAAGAATGATGATGGTAAGATAAAAATTAACAATAACAATAATAATAATAACAACAAGTTTGATGAGGATGAATGATAGTAATAGGTAATAATAATAATGATAATATTTTTTATGATAATGATGATGGTAATGATAATAACAAAAATAATAATGAGTCACTTTGATGAAGATGAATGATAATGATAAATAATAACAATAACAATGATAACGGTAATAATAATAATAATATTGGTAATGATGATAATGATAATGACAATGGTAATGATAATAATAACAATAACAATAGTAATAACAATAATAACAATTATGTTAATAAAACAAGGAGAACGATAATAATGATAATGACAATAATAACGGTAATAATATTAATAATAATAATAATAATAATAATAATAATTAATAATGATAATAACAACAATAATAATGATAATATTTTTTATGATAATGATGATGGTAATGATAATAATAACAACAAGTTTGATGAGGATGAATGATAGTAATAGGTAATAATAATAATGATAATATTTTTTATGATAATGATGATGGTAATGATAATAACAACAATAATAATGATAATATTTTTTATGATAATGATGATGGTAATGATAATAATAACAATAACAATGATAACGGTAATAATAATAATAATAATAATAATATAATAATAATAATAATATAATAATAATAATAATAATGATAATATTTTTTATGATAATGATGATGGTAATGATAATAATAACAATAACAATGATAACGGTAATAATAATAATAATATAATAATAATAATAATATAATAATAATAATAATAATATAATAATAATAATAATGATAATATTTTTTATGATAATGATGATGGTAATGATAATAATAACAATAACAATGATAACGGTAATAATAATAATAATAATGATAATAACAACAATAATAATGATAATAACAACAATAATAATGATAATAACAACAATAATAATGATAATATTTTTTATGATAATGATGATGGTAATGATAATAATAACAATAACAATGATAACGGTAATAATAATAATGATAATATTTTTTATGATAATGATGATGGTAATGATATTAATGACAATAACTATGATAACGGTAATAATAATAATAATGATAATATTTTTTATGATAATGATGATGGTAATGATAATAATAACAATAACAATGATAACGGTAATAATAATAATGATAATATTTTTTATGATAATGATGATGGTAATGATAATAATAACAATAACTATGATAACGGTAATAATAATAATAATGATAATAACAACAATAATAATGATAATATTTTTTATGATAATGATGATGGTAATGATAATAACAACAATAATAATGATAATATTTTTTATGATAATGATGATGGTAATGATAATAATAACAATAACAATAATAACAACAAGTTTGATGAGGATGAATGATAGTAATAGGTAATAATAATAATAATAATGATAATATTTTTTATGATAATGATGATGGCAATGATAATAATAACAACAATAATAATGATAATAACAACAATTTTGATGATAATAATGATGCTGATAATAATAGTAATGATAATGTTAAGAATAGAGTTAGAATAGGATTCTCACAATTCGTAATATGACATCGCGCACGTGTGTCATTCTTTAAAATCTGTATTGTCAGTTATCAATTCATGTTACCTAAATGAATGTTACTTCAGGTTCATAGCCATATGGACTATGATTCCTGAATTAAAATGCAGAATCTGGAAGTATATTGACTTTGATATTAAGCGCAAAATGTAACTAACATGGATGAAACCGAAGCCACATTATATGACAATATCGTTATCATTATAGTAACTTTTACTTTTATAAACACTATTGCCATCATCTATATCATTATAATAATTATCATTTAAAACCCACCAGTACCATCACCATTAAAGAAATTATTGTTATACACACATAAATGGAGCTGGATTTTTTAAACGGGTCTGTTGTTTAATGGCATTAATTGTTCATGGCGTCAATCGTAGTTGGCTTTCAGTTCCTTTGCAGAAGAACGCCATTTTTTATCAAGTTGGATTAATATGTCTGTACTGCTCTTCATTTTGCTGGTTGTTTTGTGAAGGAATATCTGTAAAGACCTTTTTATCAATGATTCAACTCTGCTTTGTGGGCGCAGTTGCTTGCAAGTGCAAAAACAAGCAACAATAAGCAAAGATCATTGAAACCATGTCTGTGAGTGCTAATTTCACGTCCCACGAATACACTATGTCCTCTATAAAATTCAACGGCGATTTGAATCCATTTGTGTTTTCTCTTTCTACTGCAACATATACTAACTACATAATACAGTACTACCGTATATGTTTGTGTATATATTTACATATATATATATATATACATACACGCATATATCTTTCTGTACCAAAACTCTCGTTACCCATATAAGTGACATTTGCATATACAGAGTTTGAAACTTATAGTGGGTGAATGCTAATTGTTGTTGAAGAACAGAGGTGTAGGAATCATGTTGAACAGACTGCGAGTAGAGCAACGAAGGGAAGAACCAGGAAAAAACACTGGTATGCTGAAAGCCTTTCCGCTATATCCGTGTGTATCTTTGTTCTCCTTACTGCAAATTATTATTACACAAACATATCTCTCACGCAAAACAGCAAATTTACTGATAATCGCACTGACGCTTATGTCTTGTGTCTTAAGTTCAATTTAGCAAATAATTAAGTCAGATTTAACAACAATTACGGTTCGAAACAAACGAAATCAGAGCAGAAGATTGTTGAAATAACGAACCATTGACTTTATCCTTTTATGCTTCCAGAATGTGGCTCAGACGGACGCATCTCGCCCTTCGTCTGCTGTTCATAGCCTCTTCACTGGGACATCTGTTGAAGGTTAGAATCTCGTTAATTAAATCTATTACAGTTCATCAAACTAGTTTAATCAAGGAATACTTTTCTTGCCAGTTAATTGTGTCAATTAAACTCTTTCATCAGTTCTCTTGATTTAATATTAATCCCAGATTACGCTTCATTCCTGCCAGACTTCAAGTAGGATTTTCAGATACCAAAAAGAGCGGGAAAAGTTCTTGAAGTAACCATACAAAACGGAGAGAAAGATCCTTGTTTATCCGTAACTTAGTATAACAACCACTGAATCACCTAACAACAACCATACTCAACCACGAAATTCAAACTATAACATGCAATAAACCACATTACAAACGTCATCAATCGCGAAAAATTAAACCGCAAAATTTCACAACTATACATCATCCAGAAAAAAAAAAACGACCGACACACATCCAGTTTCTACAACCACATTAAAACCACATCCAACCAGGAAAAACAAACAAACAAACAAAACAAAACATGAACAATCCTATTACACCCCCACCCTCTTCCTTCCTTCCTTCAGGCCCAGGCCTCCGGGGTCGTGACCAGCTTCAAGATCTCCGGCAGAATCGAATCCCGCTACGCTGTCACTCGCGTCACGTCGCAGATGCACAACCCTGCAGACAGCGCGGAGGAACTCAAGTTCAAGATGACTCTGCCCAAGACAGCTTTTATCTCCTCTTTCATTATGTTTGTATACACACGTGCGCGGGCTTGAATAGAATATATAAATTTATATCTATTTATGTATGTCTGTGTGTGTATGTATTCATGTATGTATGTGTGTGTATGAGTACACATACATAAATATATATATACACACACATATATATACGCACATATATATGTGTATGTATATATATACACATATGTATATACAGGCACATATATACACACATATATATGTAAAAATATTATACATATATATGAATATATATACATATACGAATATATGTATATATACATGTATACATATATATAGATACATAGGTATGCATACACACATATATTTACATATATACACACACACACAAGAACTCATATACATACATGTGTATATATGTAAATATACATACATATGCATATACATACACACAAGAACACATATACATACTTGTATATATATACATATATACACACACATATATATCTATATTAATGTATATATATACATACATATATATACATATACATATATATGTATTAATATGTATATTCATATTTATGATACATATATATATATATGTATATACACATATATATGTATATATACATGTATATAAATACATATGTATGTATATATACATATACATATATATATACATTATATATACGTATATATATGACATGTATGTATGTGTGTTTATGAGTACAGGCACACACATAAATATATATATATAAATATATACATACATACATTTATATATGTGTATGTGTTATATATACATATACATACATACATATATGTGTGTATATATGTATATATACACACATTTATGTATATATATATATTCATATATACATTTATATATATATATATATATATATATATATATATATATATATAATTATATATATATACATATATATAGATATATATGCACACACACACACATGTATGTGTGTGAGTCACAGCCCAACATATTACCAATGAACGAAAAAAAAAGCAAAACACAAATGCAGAGAAACCGAGAATCAACCGCACTCTTTCCACAGGGAGATCGAAGGCAAGAACTACACGAGCCAAATCAAAGAGAAGGAAGAAGCGAAGAAGACTTACACGTCAGCGAAAAAGCGCGGGAAATCCACCGGCCTTGTTGCACAGAGGTAAGGTAAACTTTTTCCTCATCTGCAGGTAATGCAATATTCCTAATACGACATATAATACAATACACGTGCGCCCGGATGGCAAGAGGACATGCTATGCCCACTGTGATATAAGTTCATATAGATGGCTCTTCAAGTGCTTAATCACCAAGGAATCAGTTAATAGTCCTACCGTTTTCCTTATATATATATATATATATATATATATATATATATATATATATATATATATTTGTATTATTTCATTGTCTTTAATGTTACCAAGATTTCAATAAAAAATAATAATCATAATATCAGTATAAATAACAAGTATCGATATCAAAAGTATTAGAAAGAAAAATATTTCCCGCAATTTCAAGGAATGGAGAAATCAGGAGCGGTCACTAAGGGAAACTAGACTTCTTGCTGGCTGAGGGCATCTGTATGTAACAAAATTCACAAAAAAAACTACTGGGGACAGTGCATAAATCCGTAGTCATTCGGTTAACCCAATCGTCACGTTTATTTATTGTAATTACACATAGATGGCTCTACAAGTGCTTAGTCACCAAGGAGTCGGTTATTAGTCCTACGTATCTCACCTGTTTACCCTTTTCCGCGTCTTCTTCCGTTTTTTTTTTTTTTTTGCATTATTTCATTGTCTCATATGTTATCGGTATTTTAATAACAATTAAATAATCATAACATCAATAATAATAACAGTATCGATGTCAACTGTATTCAAGAGAAAAATATTTTCCCGCCAATTAATGGAATAGGGAAATCAGTATCGGTCACAAGGTCTACTGATTCTTGAGCTGAGCACATGTCTAACCATCTGTATGTAATAGCATTCACAAAAAACTACAGGGGACAGAACATAAATCCGGGGTGAATGAGTAAATACAACATACAGAGCAATGCACATACATACATAATGCTATATACATAATATATACAAAACAACAATACTAACGTGATACAATATTCAGAAAACAGCATATTACAATATACATACACATATATAATACAATATATATAATGCGACATACACTGCAATACACATACACGTAAGTGCAATAAGGATAGTGAACATACAACAACACATAATACAATATACTAAATACAACATGCAACGCAGCATACATACACATAACACATTCATAATAGAACATACAACGCAAAAGGCACTTACAAAACAATGCACACATTATGTAACATACATAATACAACGTACAGAGCAACACATACATACACATCCAAAATAGTACACACAACACAGTATACATAATGCAGCGTAGAAAGCAATAAATAAGTAATAACATAGCATCCCATAATGATAATGGATAATTATTCGAAAAGATCATAGTATTTTCCTCCTCAGTATGGCTGTCTTCTCTCTCTCTCTCTTCTTTCCATCACTTTCCTTGCTCTTCTCTCTCTCTTTTTTCATTACTTTTCTTGCTCTTCCTCCCTCCTTCTCTCTCTTCTTCTTTTCATCACTTTCCTTGCTCTTCTCTCTCTCTTCTCTTCATCACTTTTCTTGCTCTTCTCTCCCTCCCTCCCTCGTCTCAGCAGCACAATTACCCGACAGGAAGGACAGCGATCGCACGTTCGAAGTGAGCACCAACGTGGCAGCGAAGGGACACGTTATCTTCTACCTAACCTACGAGGAGCTCTTACGCCGTGGCAAGGAAGGTTACCTCTATTCCGTGCATATCCGGCCGGGTCATGTAAGTCCTGGGACTTATATATTTTGTCATGTTAGTAGATTAGCGTTTTATATCCCCTGTAGATTCGAAATGGATGGGACGTAGCTCAGTGGTATAGCGCTGGGATTGCAATTGCGAGGTCCTCCTAGGTTCTCGCCCTAGGAACATCCCGCGACTCAGTACGTATGTTCGTCTACGAACTCGTCCCCTACGTCCACTTGAATATGGGACTAACTTGGACTTTTAAGACTCGAAACACTTAGAAGTGCAGGCTGATTCCTTACTGAATATTAGGATCCTTCAGAACTTGTCTTTATCTTGCATCATCAGTAGACTCAAAACGCTCGTGAGCGTCGGCGAGTCTTGAGTTGCAGAGTTACAAATATACTTGGGCGAAAAATCCTAAAAGAATGTTACTGAATAACTGTAATAAATATTTCAGGTCATCCCGGCGGTGCAGGTGGAAGTGGAGGTCATAGAGAGAGAAGCTTTGACTAACATGACCATCCTGGAAGTTCCTGGAGATAACATAAACGCCGGTAGGTCCGGAGAGAGAGAGAAAGAGAGAAGGAAGATAGGAAGAAAGGGACAGAAATGTTTTCAACCTGTTCACCACTTCACAAACTAAGATCCCTAATTACATTTAACACGCTCCCCTTTTTGTCCTCCCAAACACACCATATGCCCTCTCCTCCCCAACACGGATCAAGACCTCTAACCCCAATTACCTTTACTATGAGTGAGAGCCGATTCTTCCGCCGCAGTGAGGAGGGAGGACGTGCGACTCGGAAATGTCCTGCTTCGCTACGACTACGAAGTCCCGCCGGATAGAGGAGGACTCGACGGCGTGTTCTCCTTCAAGTACGACATCGCCAGGAGGCCTGATGGAGGCGAACTGCAGGTGAGGAGGAGAAGAGAAGGAGGAAGGGAAGATAGAGAAGAAAAGTTTGAGAGAAAATAATATGTATATGTATATATGTGTGTGTGTGTGTAAAGGATCTTTTGTTTAAAATGGTGCATTTCGTCATTGAATTAATCACATTATCTAATTGTGTTGTTACTTTCATTAAAATGGGGGTATGAAAAGATGCCATAACCATATATATTTGTAAATTTTATAAATAAATAAACAAAAATCAATGTAAACAACCATGTCCCAGCGAGTGTGTCAAACGTCCCAGGTGTCACGAGGCTTGTTTAAGCTTGGCGTTGCTCCGATTAACCTTGGGGGCACGTGAAGCAAAGTTTCGTGGCGCCTGGCGTCAGCAAATCTATGTATATACAGAAAGACTTGAAATACAAGAAATGAATGTAAATATAATGAATTCACTGTACTTATAATATGCCACGAATTAGCGTGTTAAATGCTTTCCTACTCACGAGGCGGGGGTCACAGTGTTCACTCGAACAAGTGGTATGGTAAAGTAAGACCAGCTTAGGCACACTTACGCGCATGCGCATTACAATAAGTATATACAATATATATATATATATGTATATATATATTGCGCATTAAAATATATATATATATATATTGCGCATTACAATATATATATATATATATATATATTGTGCATTACAATATATATATATATATATATATATATATATATATATATATTTACACACATATATATGTATGTATGCATGTGAAGGAGAGAGAAAGAACAAAAGAAACAGAGGGAGAGGGTGAGGGACGGGAGAGGGAGGGAAATAAAGAGAGGGAGAGAAGTAGAGAAAGTAATAGAGAGAGAAATTGAGATAGAGCGAAATAGAAAGAGAGAGTAATTGAGAAAGAGAAATAGAGCGAGAGAAATATATATATAGAGAGAAATAGAGACAGAGAGAAGAGGGTGAGGTGTGAGTGTACGTGTATATATATATATATATATATTTACACATATATATGTATGAGAGGAAGAGAGAGACAAAAAGAGAAAGAGAGGAAGAGGATGAGGGATGAGAGAGAGAGAGAAATAGAGAGAAACAGAGAGAGAGAGGAATATATAGAGAGAAATAGAGCGAGAGAGAGAAATAGAGAGATATATATACATATATATAGAAAAAAAGAGGATGAGGGAGGATAGAGAGAGACGAGTGAAAGAGAACTAGAAAGACCATTCTAAACTACCCTCGCCCCTCCCCCTATCTCTCCCCCCAGCAAGAGGGCAACTACTTTGTCCACTACTTCTCGCCGGACGGTCTTCCCAAGATGCCAGTTCACACTGTGTTCGTGCTGGACGTCTCAGGCTCAATGAATGGGAACAAAATCGTGCAGTTGAAGAAGGCAATGGAGGCTATTTTACGTGACCTCAAACCGGAAGATACGTTTGAGGTAATGTATGAAAAAGTAGGATCTATTTTTGTATGCGCTTTGAGGGTAACTTATTAGATGTAAGTGGTCACTTTTTTCGTTTAATGATTGCTATGTTTATTAGAATGATTGGAAAAGGAGGTCGTGGAGATGCATATGTTGTTTAATCATGGGTGACTCTTGAGATGATCAAAAATATTAGTCTCAAAATACAACGAAGCGCACCTTAGAAATATTCAGAGACAAAGTAAGCCAATAAATACACAAATTAAAAATTGAGCGTCACAGTCTTATCTCTCTCTTAATAATAATAAAAGACCCGAAACCCCCCATGCTCTCACGATAACCCCCACTCATAGCATTCCCCTCAGCTAACCCGAACGCCCTATCTTCTGCCCTCGTGTTACAGCTGGTGTCCTTCTCCTCGAATGTACAAAGCATCGGCTTCTATAAGGGAACCAAACACCAAATTGAAAAGGCAGTGAAGAAGGTGAGAAATCTGGAGGCGACGGGGTCAACCAACCTCAACGAGGCCTACATATACTCCATCAACAAGCTCAACGACCTGGACAGGAATCACACGGCGAAACAGGTACTGCGCTCTGTTAGTTTGCTTTCAGTGTCGCAAAAATCAAAAGCAAATCAAAACAGATTTTATATATATGTATTTATATGTGTGTGTATATGTTTGCATGTATGTACGCACGTATGAATGTACGTATGTACATTCATACATATGTACATACGTATGTATGTACGTATGTATGTATACACACACAAATGTACATGTGTACGGACATACACATACAGATACATACATCTATAATATATATACGTGTGTGTATATATATGTATATATCTATAAATGTATATATACACATACATATGTACATATATGCATACATATACACATATTTATGTATATATAAATAAATATATGTATGTATATATTTAAATATATATATATAAGCGTGTGTGTGTATGTATGTGTATATACATATATATGTATATATATACATATTTATGTATATATATACATATATGTTTATATATATAATTTTGTGTGTGCGTATATATATGTATATACGTGTATATATTTATATATATGTATGCATATATATTGTATATATATGCATTTATATATACTATATATATATATATATATATATATATATATATATATATATATATATATATATAATATATATATACGTGTGTGTGTATGTTTATATATATATATTATATATTGTTTAATATATATCAGCCTTTAGTAACAATAGCCCGAGTCGCTGAGGCACAGACTTTAAACGAGCGTTTAGCTTCATGTCCCTAACTCGCTTCCGTGACGGAGAGATAATCATTACGGTGACTTCAATGCAGCTTCCAGCTGTGGTGTATCAATGCAGCATCCGGCTGTGGTGTATCAATGCAGCATCCGGCTGTGGTGTATCAATGCAGCATCCGGCTGTGGTGTATCAATGCAGCATCCGGCTGTGGTGTATCAATGCAGCATCCGGCTGTGGTGTATCAATGCAGCATCCGGCTGTGGTGTATCAATGCAGCATCCGGCTGTGGTGTATCAATGCAGCATCCGGCTGTGGTGTATCAATGCAGCATCCGGCTGTGGTGTATCAATGCAGCTTCCACCTGTGGTGTATCAATGCAGCTTCCACCTGTGGTGTATCAATGCAGCATCCGGCTGTGGTGTATCAATGCAGCATCCGGCTGTGGTGTATCAATGCAGCATCCGGCTGTGGTGTATCAATGCAGCATCCGGCTGTGGTGTATCAATGCAGCATCCGGCTGTGGTGTATCAATGCAGCTTCCACCTGTGGTGTATCAATGCAGCATCCGGCTGTGGTGTATCAATGCAGCATCCGGCTGTGGTGTATCAATGCAGCATCCGGCTGTGGTATTGATCATGGAATTCGTATGGCTGTCCCGGCCGCCCTGGGGTGCTTCACTTGTATAGGTTGAGGGAGGTTTGCTGTTGCTGTCTCTAAGCATTTCAGCGCTGGAGAACCTGCCTGCCTTAGTCCTTGGGCTTGTCCCACACCATAATGTAGTTGATGGTTTGCTCCCTGTTTTATGTTGCCTTTATAGAGAATCATATGGCCGTTTTGTAGCATCCCGAAACCCCAACAGTTTGATACATTGTTTCATGTTGAACCATGGTCGCTACAAAACACGACGCCATCGAACTTTGTATGTATGTTATTTTTCTCAATTTCGCATGAAAAAGTCAAGTTTAAATAAGATGGAAAAGTACCTGACTACTTATTATTATTATTACTATTACATGCACTGTCCTTCATATGAAAAGTGAGAGTTGCATGAGGTTTTGCATCTTGTCGTATCCACCAGTGAGCTCCGAGTTCGCATAGAATCCGAATCTCAGTCAAGTGAATGATTCCAATGATAGTGAGCATTTTACTAATATTTTTGCCTGAATCAAGATGCACGTCTTTTTATATTTTTGAAGCCTGTATTGTTATACAGAGGGATAACCAAAGTCAATACACATCATAGGATTCTGACACGTTGCAGATTCTTATCCTGTCGTTTCAGCAACGAAAGGCACTGAAACATTTTATGCCCCTTTATATAAGAATGCCGTATCAAGAAACATACGATGCAATTCGTAATTAATAAAAATATAAATTCCTATATGAGGCATATGTACCTGCCAAAGAGTATCACGTTCTGATTGGCTGGCCTGAATGTTTCACATTGTATCAAAGTAGAGACATACAAACTGATACAATGTTACACAATTTACAGCAATGTACGCTTAAAGAGCAAACATGTATCAAAGTGCATCAAAGTGTTTCAATCAATCAATCATTTGGAGCTAACGCCGGCAGGGGCGCATAGCTGCATCCACCCTTCGCTTGCACTTGCGAGGGTCCCTCATGGCGACCCGCCAGGCAGGGGCCCGGCCCATCTCTAGTTCTTCACGACAGGTTTGATTGATCTGTCCAAGCCACAACCTTCTTGGTCATCCCACAGGCTTCCTCCACTCAGGATTGTCTCAGCTGCTTCAATTCCCTCGACAGTAGCGGAAACTGATCATTCATGCCCCCACTCTGAGGTCTAACCTCAGGCAGTCACTCCGGATGGGTGCCACCTCTGTCATCCCTACCGACGCCGCCCCAAATAAACGAGGTTGGCTGGTTGCAGGTCCCATTATACACCTGCGGGGCTCCCGGGGGCTTTCCCCCACAAGCTTCACGCCAGGATGACGGCCGCCGGGACCCTGATGGGGTGACGGGTAACCCCCGCCCCCTACCCGAGTCCCAACGGTCGCCAACTCAGAGGAACCCACAGCCCGCCTTACTTGCTGGGTGGGAGGGACTTTAGCCCTCCCCCCAGCACCACCGACTAAATGTTTAGGTGCCAATACGGTTATCTCGGGGGGGGGGGGGGAGACTGGCAAGGCCTGCCTCCCCACAGCCGCCCATAAACCCTAGGGGGCACGGGGGCAGGAGTTAGCACGAAGTCAGGGCGTGTGGGCCATGATTCTGTACCTTAAGTGCCTCCTGATGCTCCAAGAGCCTCCACAGTTCAGCCTAGGACCGCAAGGTGCCTAGTTTCCATGGGTGGCCACGAGGAAGCACTGCAGAAGTCTTGATGATGGAGAGGCTATGAGCTGGCAGGGGTGTCTAATGCATAGCTGCTCCCTTTTCGCACCAGGCTAGCCAGTGTTTGGAGTTTCGGAAATACTAAAAAAAATAAATATATATAGTCAGTTACGATTGAGAAAGAGCAAGTATTGGCAGTTAATAAACTTTATTTGAGACAGGATGATGAAGACAACTAAAACATGCTAGAACTACCTTAACATCTGTACAGCGGGAATAGCATACGCTTACTATACACAGGACACTCTCCCAATTCATCCTGATTTGACTTCAGTTATAATTTAATTCCAGCACCATTTTACCTCACCCCATTGCCAATATCTCTTGACAATCCCATTCAACTGATAAAATTCACGATAATGATCTCCAACAATTCACTCAATAAATACAAATAAACAAATCACGATCATGAAAAAGTACATAGATTTCCACAACAGATTCACCCACACACACACAAACCAAATCACGATCATGAAAAACAAACAAACTCAAAATAACGAAAAGAAATCCACAAGCAACCACACTTCCTAGATACACGCAGATAAATACGAATCACAATCATGGAAAAAACGACGATTTCCAGGTGGTGTTCCTCACGGACGGCCAAGCATCAGTAGGTGTCACGAGATCACAGTCAATAAGGGAGAACGCGAGGCGTGAGAACGTGTTACGCCATCCTATCTACGGCCTAGCCTTCGGGGACGGCGCTGACCTCAAGTGAGTGCTTGGCGAGCGACTTTTCAGAGTAGTATATTGGGAAAGAGAGGAGTGAAAGGAGGGCAAAACACAGGGGAGGTGTTATGGAATGAATGGTGTTTGTGGAAGAACTTTTACAAGCAGCAGTAGTTTGGGTTTAGGTTATACATGTATATATCCATACACACACACACACACACACACACACACACATATATATATATATATATATATATATATATGTATATATGTATATATGTATATATGTATATATGTATATATATATATATATATATATATATATATATATATATATATATATATATATATATATATATATATATTATACACACACATAGTGTGTATAATATATTTTATATATATATATATATATATATATATATATATATATATATATATATACATATATATATATATATATATATATATATATATATATATATATATATATATATATATATGTATATATACTGTATATATCTTATATATATATACAATATATATGCAGCATATATACAGTATGTATACATATATATCTATATCTATCTATATATACATACTATATATATATATATATATATATATATATAATATATATATATATATATATATATATATATATATATATATACATATTTACGTATATACTATATGCATGCTATATATATACATATAGATATATATATATGTATATCTATACATACATATACACACATCTTATACCAAATATATATATATATATATATATATATATATATATATATATATATATATGTATATATATATATATATATATATATATATATATATGTGTGTGTGTGTGTGTGTGTGTGTGTGTGTGTGTGTGTGTGTGTGTGTGTGTGTGTGTGTATGTGTGTATATATGATACAATATATACATATATATACTTTTTATATATATACTATATATATACAATATATATACATATATATATTCATATGTATATATATTGTATATACATATTATATATATATAAATATATATATATATATATCGTATATGTATATATGTGTACATGTGTGTACATATATGTATATATTTATATACATGTGTACTCGCATATATATTTATATGTATACGAGTATAAAAAAAGGTCCATAACTAAAAATGCACATGAACATTCTTGTACCAACGTGTTATAACGTGTTCAAGCATGAACCCTTAAATGCAGGTAATAATGCATAACCGCCAGTTGGAAGTCATGTGATGTGAACCATGTCAGAGCAGATCGTTTTGCATTTTTAACCTTTCAATGATTGTTTGGAAACAAAAAGAAGTCGGGTGGGGCTAAATCGGGGCTGTAAGGTGGATGTCAGACGATTTTTCGTCTAAATTCATGTAGCACAGCTCTTGTCTGCCGAGCGTTGTGAGCGGGTGCATTGTCGTGGTGGAGGAGAACGCGTTGATGCAGCTTTCCAGGGCGTTTTCCCCAAAACGGATTTATAATAAGCAGATGTAATTGTTTTCTTGCTCTACATCCCAGAAGGCAGTGGCCATGACCTTTCCTCTTGAACACCCAGATTTTGCTTTGACTGGTCCACTTCCACCCCAGGGTAGCCACTGCTTTGATTGAATTGTGTCCTCGGGACTGTACTGCTAGAACCATATTTCATCACCTGTCACAAGTCCTAATCCTACTTCCTCAAAATTACCAATGAAAGAACTACCTTGTTTGCTGCTAATATGAAAATTTGCTTAGCCCCAAATTCTCCACCAGAATTGTGTGTGCAGAACTCACAGAGATGTTGAGCATGTTTGCTGGTCTTTTTCAATCATGTCGCGTACAGCATCAATGTTTTCCTCACAAACTGACGTTAATGGCCTGCCACTGTGGGGCTCATCTTCAATTTCATTTTTCCACTTATAAATCAAGTTATCCATTTGTGTTTTTTTGATTTCTTAAGGGCATTTTCACCATAACCTTGTACCAGAGCGTCACTGATTTGCCTAAGGGGAGGGTCCGCCTGTTGGCTATTTTCGTTAATTATGAATCATTATTTTTTTTTTTCATATCAGGTACATATCTCAATAGGATGCCTTTCAATTTTCGTTGTGATCAGACGAAAAAAATGAAAACCGAAAACAAAAAATGTCTTATGGAAGGAGCTACGATCTTGAAAAAAATCTCATATATACTTACTAACATACCCAAGACTCTGTTGCAAGCGGATTTTTCAATTTCCTCTTACTTTTTGAGAAAAAAAGGAAAAATCAGCCACACCTCAGTACGTCATCCATTATCCTAAGCTTGCAACAAGTTCTAGAGGAAAGATTTGTCTTTCAAATGCCGAAAACCCCATGTAAATCGGTAAAATAGTGGCAGAGGAATAAGAAAAAACAGTGTAAAAAAACATAGTTTCGAGAAAATCGCGTTTGAATGTCACGCTTAAAAACAGCCACACACCTCAGTACATCATCCCTTATGCTGAGTGTCCGAACAACAACAACAAAAAAAATCGGCTTGCAACAAGTCCAAGAGGAAAGATTTGTCTTTCAAACGCCGAAAACCCCATGTGAATCGGTAAAATAGCAGCGGAGTAATAAGGAAAAAAAGTGGGAAAAAACATAGTTTCGAGAACATCGCGTTTGAATGTCGCGCCTAAAAAACAGCCACACACCTCAGTACATCATCCATTATGCTGAGCGTCCAAACAAAAAAATAAAAAATCGGCTTGCAACAAGTCCAAGAGGAAAGATTTGTCTTTTAAATGCCAAAAAAAACATGTAAATCGGTATAATAGCGGGGGAGTAATAAGGAAAAAAAGTGAAAAAAACAAAGTTTCGAGAACATCGCGTTTGAATGTCGCACCTGTCTGCGTTCGAGGGACCCCATGTTTTTCTCCGTAAAAATAAGATTACAACATAATTGCTAGCTACAAGTCGAAATTAATAATGCCACTATTACCCAGTATCTCTACAAAATGAAGAGAGATCAATTAGATCGGTTCATCTACTATAATAGTATGAGAACACGAAGCCTCCACACCACGTCAAGGTGATCCCATATTGTGGAGCTCCCCCTTTCATTTCTTCCGAGAGCATTACCGCCGTTCTGTGGCTGGGGCTTGGTGCTAGTATGCACCAGGCTGATAATCCTCAGAGAAATCTAATTTTCTCTTTGACTTTCTCGTTTTGACGACGGCACTATGTTCCTCTGTTCTTTGTTCCTGGATTTCCTGGGACTTCTTCACACTGGTGTTTGTGCCGAACATATGAGTCATGAGACTTGCTTCTTTCCCAAAATTATGCTATAACACTGTGGCACGACCAACAAAGAGAACTCGGAACCTACCGCAATATTTGTCCTTCCGTAGTTTCCCCCACAACTTCTGGTGCAGCGACTCGTTAGGGTTCTGAGTCTCTCCCCTCAGGCAGCATCATATTAGGTCTGGACTCTTAAGCTCACTAAAAAATAAATTCAATTGCTCATAAGGTATCCGAGCCAGATATAAATTCTTATTTGAATGTCTGCCGGGTTCTTTGTTCGTTGCCTGTGCCCTCTTATAGAAGCACCACGAGTTAGGGCCAGAGGGGCATAGGGAGTGGGCTGGCTTCTCGTCTGTTGACGACAGGTGGAAGAAGGATGCCCAAATTGCCTTCCTCATGGCATCGACATCCTTCCCCACATTGTCCTGAATGGCCTTCCCATAATACCGTGACAGGTGATCAATGAACTCGTCCGTCAATTTATTTGCACCACCAAGGGAACTTTTCCTCCTTCTCTTTCCCGTCCTGGTCGTAATTATGTCCCATGTCTTTCTTCAATTTACGCAACCTTGTCCCGAGGCGTTTGCTGACATGGTTGCAGCATTCCTATTTGACAACAGGGTCATTGTAGGGACCTTTGCCATCATTCAGTACCATTATGGCATTGAAAGCACTGGAATCTCCGTCACTAATAAATGTGGTGTACTTCATGCAGTACTCCGTCGAGCAGGACCACATGCGTACAGTTGCCTCCTTTTCCATGGCCCCAGACTTACCAGCAAAATTTTTGTGGCATTTATGATTACCTGTACTCTCTTTATCTAAGCATGTTTGGCACCAATTGCACAGCACCTCAAAGTCCAGGACAATCCCCGTGTGAGAATCTACCACAAAGTCTACACCAATGTGGCTTTTGTATCCACGGGTCATCCAGGTACCATCATAGGATAGTTCTACATTTACATTACCGTCTTCGTCCATTGTGCTGAGATTATGTGAGAGGTAATAATCCATGACTTTCCTACGGCACTGTGCCATGAGCCCGTCATAATATGGTTTTATCTGTTTATACAGGTAGGAACAGTGCCTGCTGTAGGTACCTGCACTGAAGTTGTTTCTTGGAAAAAATCCAGCATTTTTTTGAAGCCCTTCCCGACCTACACCAGTGATGATGCTGTTATACACATTCACTCATCTCTGTGCTTCTTGGGGAGGAAGGCATCCAACGTCTTCTCACAAGTAGGGCACTCAACTATAATATTCGAGTCAAATACATTCTCTGTTGGTTTTATCACAGGACTTCCCGTGCACTGTTCAGCAGGGTAACGGAGAAGAGACAATGCCTGTCAATTGTTCCTCTGACACCAGATATTTATTAGAAAATCTACTCACATCTTTCAATTTCAATTCTTGTGTCAGCATCAGGCGTCTCTTGTGTGAAGACACAAATGGTGGCCCTCGATGTTGAGGGTTGAGGCGAGGCACTGGGCACGGGGTGAGCCACGCGGGAGGCTCTCCACCACGCCCCGCAGTCTTCCCCTCGCTATCACACAAAAAGTTTCCTTTATTTCTCTCTGTTCAATAGCCTTATCAAGATTTTTGAATAACTTCTTTTTTCTGCGAGTTACATTACCCATGGTCTCTGTTTAGAATACACTCACAAGCGTAAAGTAAAAAAGTTCGTCTTCTTTGACAGAACGCGACGATATACATCCACACTAAACTGACTCTAGTGGGACACTGAGGTCTACGGCTTAGTAACAGCTATGTTTACATAAGAAGTTGCCTATCCCGAGTTATTGTTATCACCATTATTATCTCCTTTTCTGTGTAATTTAGTCCATGGAACACCCTAATACATGAACTGTCGTGAAGCGTACATTATGGGGGATGCACGAAAATACATAGAGGAATGATGCCAGAATTATATATTTTTTTTCGAATATTTTTCGAATTTTTCATTTTTTGATCGTTCTCCAGGCTGACCCTCCCCCTAAATCTCCCAACCGAGTTTCACCACAAATTTAATGTTTCTCCTTGCCTCGATTTTGGTGGATTCCATGTTGCTGGAATGGTGCCTGACTTCCAACTGGCGGCGATGCATTATTACCTGCCTTTTAGGGTTCATGTTTGAACACGTTGGTGCAAGAATGTTCTGGTGCATTGGAATGAAAATCCTTCCATATGATTTTTAGTTATGGACTTTTTTCACAAACTTTTTCAAGGCCCCTAGTATATATAAATATAAACAAATATAACAATGGTAAATATACCCTATAAATAAGTATACTTCTCCCAGATTGCTTCAGGAAGTGAGTGCCGACAACCGCGCCTTTGCCAGACAAATTGACGAACACACAGATCCGGATAAACAGCTGATAGGATTCTACCAGGAGATCGCCACGCCCCTCATGGCTGACGTGGAAGTTAGCTATCTGGAGGACGAGGTTGACCCTGAGACCGTGGTGAAGCAAGGCACGACTCACTACTACTCAGGAGGAGAGGTTAGGAAGGATGGCTTCCTCAGGTTAAGTTTCTGCCGTCTCTTGAAAGAGAGGTGTATTCAATGCGAAAGTAATCACAAAAAATATGCATATGACGCTGATTTTGTTTTTGTTTGCCACCATGTCTCTGCTGCAGGTGGTGACCGCTGGAGTGTTGGCACCGGGAGTCACGCACCTTGAGCCGGTAGTCCGGGGCGTTGGCAAGGCCGGACCTATACAGTTCAGGGTGAACCGTCTCCACGCAAATCCAGCGCCCGTTCTCGATAAGGACAACTATGTGGCGAGGTTGTGGGCATACCTAGCTGTGCAGGTGATGTCAAGTGACCATGTAGTCTTATGTAAACTTGACAAATTTATGAAACATTCAGTAACCGCCTAAGTCTTACATCACCGAAAAAAGATATATATCGGATTGTGAATAAACATTTTTCTTTCCGTCGTAGGATCTTCTGTCTAAGGCCTCAGTGGAAGAAAATACAGATCGAGTCACCAGGTTGAAGGCAGAGGCACTGGATATTGCCCTCAGAGTAAGTTGCCTTAAATCGTTTTTATCATTTATTTGCACCTGTGCATGTGTTGGAATTAATAGTTCTATAATAGAAGGCAGAAACATGCACGTACCCGCACATGTGCGAGCACACACACAAAAAAAACTTTTTTTTCCTATCACAGTTCCACTTCGTAACTAAACTGACATCGTTGGTTGTGGTGCGCCCCGAAGATGAACAACCTGAAGAGGAGGAGGAGGAGAAGGAGGAGAAGGAGGAGACGGTAGACGGTAAGTTAGGGTTTGTTAATTGGATGCGTCTTCTAATATGTTTAAATTAAGTACCACACCTACGCCCTATCCATGGAGCTCCGTCCTCTGAACCCTTGTGGTCATTATACTGTGCAATGCTACGTAACTACCTAACCACCTCGACCCTCTCCCAGGGAAGTGGCCCTAAACGGATTAATGATTTACTTTGCTGCAGCAAAATAAACTACACAATATCTTTTCTACTATACATCACCTAACTCCTGAAAACCACTTGCTACACTTCTATTATTTTATTATCTTTGATGTTAATATTTTGATAACAATTTAATAATCATAATATCAATAAGAATGATAACAATGTCAATATTATTAGTATTGGAAAGAAAAACATTTTCTCGCCAATTCAAGGAACGGGGATCGGTCACTAGGGCTATTGATAGACAACTTACTGCTGAGTACAGTGGAGCCATCTGCTTATAACAAAACTCACTAAAATCTGAAGGGGACAGTAAATAAACCCGCTGACATTGGGTTAAACATATTACAAGAATCGGTGAAGACGAAAGAAAATGGAGCTCCGAAGAGGGAAACAATTATTTTCTACGGTTCCTAAACAACTGTTGTGAGTAAGAATAAAGGTACAGAGCAAATGCCCAGAACCTCAAGTAAAGTGGACGGAAACCGCATCTTAATTGACCATCATATAAGAACATGTAGAGAACGAATATAACGCAAGAGCACCCCAAGGTCAACTCGTACTTCCACGTAATTGTGCTTTACAACCAGGAATTGAGTTAATACTTGCATGATTCCCGATACTTTCTTACTAACTACATTCTTCCTACTGAAGTAATAATTTTCATGAGATACAGCTAAACCAACGAGCTCATCCCAGTCCGAATTTGAAGTTAGGTGGGTGTGAAGTGGCCGAGATAACTGTTCAAAGGTATAACAAATTTGCCAGATTGTCTTTGTTTAGATCCATTGGTTGTAGATAAATAAATGTAAGTTATGGTCTTGACATTTCCCTTACTTCTAAAAGGTAGCCCTCCATAAGGTCTGTTACTAAAGTGGTACCTTCTCAAGAACAGCGGACAGCTTCCCTTGGTGACTATTTCTTGTAAATATGTACAGACTGGACTGCACATAGCTATCGGAAGTTGCAACTCCCTTCAGTCTGCATTCCATAACAAATCCATCACATCAGGGTTATTTTACTTAAGTTGACTTGCTTTTTATGATGATAGCTCCCGTAGTCAAGGATGTTTACAATTAAAAGGTGTAGTTATCTCAGTGAGGAGCTCTAGCATTGGAGGCAGTACATGAGGTTGCATGCAAGCTAAGGTCTAGTCATGTTCCTTATCCATCATTATCCATATTTCTCCCCTTCCAGAAAAGTCTTGAGTGCGAGACATTTCTAATACTGTAATTGGGGGATTGTGAGAACATGAGGCCTTAGCATCTGGTACATCACGTGACACGCAAACACAATAATTACATTATAGGTGCTAACATATTTCTTGTGAGAATGTGTGGCTTGCAGTGGCAAAATTTGACTATTTTGTGAACATCAGTAACTTCAAGGGTGACGGTGGATACAGCATTAAAGATCATAACCTGTGTATATGGTATATTTTCTGAATTATTTTATTCTCATCTGGTTTATAAATTCTTCTTTTGCCTCTTTGAATCTATTGAAGGCTCCAAAATAACAAATAGTGAATTTAGACAAAGTCAGGAAGAGGTAGTCTGTTTAGACTTTGCAAGGTAAATGAATCTGAATTTAATACCATCAACCCCACATCATGAAGTCTGCCTAGGAGTAACTGGGTATCAGGCTAGAACAGTGGTTCCAAACTGGGGCCATGTAGCTGAGGATATGTAAAACCAAAGGAGTTTAGTGGGTAGACTGCCAATGGAGGATACGTACAAGTTCAATATAGGTTTGTGCAATGTTTGTGCCAGGCACATGAGTAATATATCCATTTTTTGTTTGTGGAATTACTTTATTTTATCTGATTATGTGCTTCTGACATAAACCAGGACACTGAGGAGTATTAGTGTAACAAATAATTCCATCTTAACAAAATTCTAAGGTTTGCTAAGCTATATTTTATTTTGTTTCTAGTTGAAAACAACTTTTTGCAATAATGCTATTTTTAATTACTATATTTATGTGCATTGTTTCTTCTTCAATATCATTTCAATAATCATGAGATTCATCAAAGGCAAATTGCAAATGTTTTCATTAAATCTTATCACAAGAAAAAATAAAGTGAATCAGTAAAATCATAGGATTTGCTAGAATGTTTTTCATGTGGACTTAATGAGTGTAGTCATTGGGAACCACTGGGCTAGAGTATATATACACCTAGTATACCACTAACTGGCAGTTATCTCCAGAGATTAAACGCATATGTAGTTCTCTAGTTCAGTTAACTAGAGTATTGTGACTCCATGCCCCTCCACTGTTGCAAGGATTCTTTTGTGAGACAGACATAAAAAGAGGTAGTCCTTTTCAATATTTTCAACTTTCCTATGTACCTAGGCCAATATCGTAGCCCACAGGCTGGGGACCAGTACTTACATTATATACAATTGTTTCATATACCTGCTCATGATATACTTTATAGCTGCCTATATACGCATCACCTCCCCTTTACCGTGTGGAGCATTTGCGTCAGGGTTGAAAGTCTACGTCATAACTTTATTTAGTATTTTATCTTTATTACAGGATGCATAATACTTTAGCTTTTTTAAAGGGTATGTAGCATTTTGTCGGTATCACAACATACAGAGTATTTCCCTTTTTTACTGGATACATGGGGTTTTATCTTTGTTACAAGATGCATAGTATTTTACCTTTAGTACAGCATACGTATAACACTCATGCATGCTATGAATGATATCCTTATAACCGCTAAAGGACAATGATATTAATATTGTTGGTCATGTGTAACGACTATGCATATCTCTATTTCAATCCCCACGCTTTCAATGGTGCTTCTCTCTACACAGGTTCAACAAGCGTTAGAAATACTGGACGCGTTTCTTCCTCTCAGTTTGGTGAGTTCTTACGAATTCAGTGCTTCTACAATCTAACCTGATATATTACTGTGCTATATTTTCCCTTTCGCGAAAGAGTTAATCAAGCTATATGTTTGAACCAACAGTGGACAACGACCCCCATTTTGTTACAGGATGCATAGTATTTTATTACAGCATACATATAACACTCATGCATACTATAAATGAAGTCCTTATAACCGCTAACGGACAATGATATTCATATTGTTGGTCATGTGTAAAGACTATGCATATCTCATATTTCAATCTCCACGCTTCCAATGGTGCTTCTCTCAGTTACTGCATTACTCTCAACACAGATTCAACACAGAATAGAAATGCTAGACGCTTTTCTTCCTCTCATTTTGGTGAGTTCTTACGGATTCAGTGCTTCTACAATCTAACCTGGATATAATAATGTGCTATATGAAAGAAGAAAGCAGTTCAGGATATTCCTTTTCGCGAAAGTGCTATGTAACAATTAGGAGAAAAACTGGAGTTAATCTAGCTGTATGTTTGAACCAACAGTGGACAACGATCCCCATTTCGTGGTCCACGTGGACGGACTGCACTTGCCCCTTTGCTTCGATCTCCATGCCTCTGATGGGGCTTCTCTTAGTCTTATTCAGGACGCGAAATCTGGTGAGTCACTAGTTTTTGTACAAATTTACCTTTCAAGCGTGAAATCTAGACGCCAAGCTGTGTCTCCCATCTGGTCCTTCATCTTTTGTGACAAAAGATAGGGAAAAGGAGACATTATACTCAAACTATGAGGTAGCAATTTCGAAATCCTCTTCCAGGACGACTTCGAAATTGTTACGTCACTTTTCAGTAAGCCTATCTTATGTGTAGTGGGTGTCTCTACGAATCCCTTGTTTAACTACTAATACACCTTTCTCAAATACCCTTATTTGGCCCCTAATGCCAGATTGCAACTTTGCTGAAAGTTGTATGTAATTCTCCATGAAGCAGAGCAACCCGATTCCAGCTTTTTATTTATTGAGGAAATAAATAAGATTGCATCCATTTTGGCGTAGTAATAACAATTTAATAAAATAAATAAATAGAGAAGACCGGTTCTTACAGCTTCGATAGCAAGACATTTTATTTTTCATTATTGATCATTATTATTTCACTAGATACAACTACCTGAATTTTTACCTTGGACATTATAGTAGAATTTGGGGGAAGTGATGCAGAAAAAAACACATTGAACTAGTTTACAAATAATATTGGAATTAGCCTAAATAATCCAAATCGAACCAATAGATTTTCAGTTCTAGTCAAAAGGGATTTATTTGCCAAAATTGTAGAGTGGATATTGAAGTATCTTTTTGTTCTTGCTTTGATAAAATGTTTTCCTTTTTTACTTGAATACGAGTCTGGTTTCATTGTATTCTGGAATACTGCGATGAGAACTGACCCCCCCCCAAAAAAAAAAAAAAAAAAAAAAAAAATGCTGTTATGTGAGAGATAGTTAAATGTAGGCACTGTAGGTGAGATAAATTTCAGTTTCATGTTTCTCCATGGTCCCCCAAAAGGTATCCCGTGGCCCCCCTGGGGCCATGGTCCCGAGTTTGGGAAGTAGAAATATGGTTCAAACTTTAGGCTGGCTTTAAATGATAGTCAATTTTCCTTTGCAATCATGAAATATCTCAGACATTTTAGAAATCTGTTGTTAACATACAGGCCAATATCGCTTCGTCCACCACGTATCCCGGTGTTATTTTGAATGCCTGCAAATTCAATATACATTAATAGGTAGACATATGTAATATAACTCTTACCAATTTTACAAGGCATAAAGGTGAATGGCCGGGTGTCAGCAGCGAAGCATAACCCCAGCCTGACGTATTTCACAACACTGTTCCTGAGTCTTGGTCACCTCAACGTAACTGTTACGCATGATTTTATTCACATTGACTGTCTCAGTGACGACGGAACGCAGATGGTAAGTCCACCTCTGGATTAGATATTACTTGAACGGAAATGAGATGTAAGAATCAGACAACGAATCTCGGCCGATTTTTTTTTCCAATCAGCAGACGCCTAATACTAAAGTTCCATATGTTTTGTATTTTTAAATCTATATACATCTATATATCTCATGTTTGTATTGAAATTTGATGTTTGCACCATTTTATTAAATTTTCTGATAAGAGCCTTGGCAACTTTTCCTCGCCATTGGACAGAGTAATAACGCTAACCTGCCACTTTATTCTTGCGATCTGGAGGTACGCTTTGTCTCCGGAATCACGTGGCCAGCTCGTAATAAAGTGGCCAAGAGGCAGTCACGAGGTCGCGGAGGCAATCGGCGCCAAACTCGCTCTGCTGATGAGGAGTCGTTAGTGGATTCGTGTGATCTGAGGACTTCGTGGGAGGACTTCAGAGGAATGAAGTAAGGATTTTCGAAGAGGTGAAGTAGGGTTAAGAAAGAGGACTGGCGTGAGGGACGTACGAGGAATAAAGTAATGGATTTAAAGGGCAGAAGTAAGGTATTTAAAGGGCTGACGAAAGAAGTTCGAAGGACTGAAATAAGAATGTTGTTATTTTATGACCATTTAGCGAAATATGTCAACAATTAATTGGAATTTAAGTATATAACCACGCATTCATATTCTTCCAAATGTAAATTCCAAGGGAATAATAAAACACGATATTAGTAATGAAAAAAAAACAATTCCTATTATATAATCTTTTCAATCATATAATTAATATACAACAACCTGAAGACCCAAAGAAAAATAATTAGGCCCTTTACCAAACATACCTATAGAGTTTATATCATGATTAAAATAGAGAAAGAATTAAAGAAGGAAAGAACAAGACACCGTATAGAGGAAAGGACGATCACCCCAAAGGACGTTAAAAAGTACTTTCCCCTCCTCCAGATACGACGACGTGATCCTGACCCGCGAAGGGCGCAAGAAATTCAACATCGTCTTGGGCGGCGGCGACACCCACTTCGTCATCGTCCGCTCCAGGAACAAGCGCCACCAGCAGTTCCTCGGATTCTACGTGAAGGAATCCGGAATGCTGTCAGCCGGCACGGGGGGGATCATTGGTAAGGGGGAAGGGAAGAAAGGGGAAGGGAGGAGAGGGGAAAGTAACTATGTGTACATATATATGTATATATATCTGTGTGTACATATTATATATATATACACACACACACACATATATATATATATAGATATATATTCATATACATATATAGATATATTTACATATACATATGTATAAATACATATATATACATTTACATATACATACATATACAGATATTCCCCTACTTAAGAACATTCTACTTATGAACATTCCATACATACAAACAATTTTTTTTAAGTACTAAATTTCAAAAAATTGTTTGAAAGATGCTAGCAAACTTCAAATTTCCCGGGCGCAAATATAATTCAAGAATCTGGTACTGTATAAGGTATGTCGTACTTATTGGATTTATTTACAGGTATTCTTAATGTAAACAAAACTTTAAAACAATGGGAAAAAAGGTAATGGAGACCCGACTTTCGACATGCAAACAAATCAACTTACAAACAGCCTCCTGGTCCACATTATGTTCTTAAGTTGGGGACTTACTGTATATATATATATATATATATATATATATATATATATATATATATATATATATATATATATATATATAAATATATATAAACATATGCATATATATATATATATATATATATATATATATATATATATATATATATATATATATATATATATATATATATATAAATATATATAAACATATGCATATATATATATATATATATATATATATATATATATATATATATATATATATATATATATATATATACACATATACATATAAATAGATATATATACACATATAGATATATATACATGTATATAGATATATATACATATATATAATTATATATGTATACATATATATACATATATAGATATATATACATATACTTATATAGATACATATATACATATACATATATGGATATACATATATATACATATATAGATATATAGATATATACATATATATATATATATATATATATATATATATATATATATATACATATATATATATATATATATATATATATATATATATATATATATACATATACACATATACACACACACACACACACACACACACACACACACACACACACACACACACACACACACACACACACACATATATATATATATATATATATATATATATATATATATATACATATATATATATACACACACACACACACACATATGTATATATATATATAGATAGATAGATAGATAGATAGATAGATAGATAGATAGATAGATAGATAGATAGATAGATAGATAGATAGATAGATAGATAGAAAGATAGATAGATAGATAGATATATGTACATATACATATGTAAAAATAAATATACTTATATATACACATTTATATAGCTATATATACATATACATATATATAGATATATATACATATTCATGTATAGAGATAGATAAATATAAATACATATGCATATATATTTACATACATATACATATATATAGATATATATACATATACATATATATATATATATATATATATATATATATATATATATATATATATATATATATATATACATACATACATATACATATATATAGATATATATACATATAAATAAATATAAATATATATATATATATATATATATATATATATATATATATATATATATATATATATATATATATATATATATATATATATATATATATACATATACACATATATATAGAAATATATATACATATACATATATATAGATATATATACATATACATATATATAGATATATATATATATATACATATACATATATATAGATATTTACATATATATATATATATATATATATATATATATATATATATATATATATACATATACATCTATATCTATATAAACATATACATATATATAGATATATATACATATACATATACAGATATATATACATAGATATATACATATTGATATATGTACACATATATGTATGTATACATATATGTGTCAAATTCTTATCAAAGTCGGTTCTTTATCATCAAGATTTGTGTTTAAGTCTATCAAGATTTTCCGAGTCTTAATTCATTTAATTTCTTTGATATATTTAGTTGTACTCCTGGTTTCATTATTGACAAGATCTGACATTTTTTTTTATATTCATATACAAGTTATTTAATTTGGTTCCTTCAATAATTAACGTCTATAATTGTTAGCTTAATTCATTATCAATATTAGTTTTTTTTCTATTGTTGATTCGATTTTCATGCTAATTGTTTAGGATTAAGTTTGTGTTAAGGGTTCTTAGACACGGGGAGAGTGACATATATAGTTTACTCATTAAAGTAATTATTTTCATTAATAAGAAAAATCTGAGTAATTTTCTCAACTTCATTTCGTTCACTCACGTTTCTTTTGCCGGTTGCTCGCTTTCTATTATTAAAGTTCATGTTACTCACGTATATACTATTTTTCAAAGAATTGTCTATGGAGCAGAGGCAAGGAGGTATGCGATGATAGCGATGCGGCTGCAGGTCGCCGGTCAGCAGTATTCTTTCCAAATATTCTAGTTCACTTCTCTGGTTGCTTCGTTTTCTGTTCGTGAGCCTTGAGTGAGGAGGAATGCCCGTGACTCCTGCCCACCTGCCCGATTGTCACGCGCATCCGCACAAGTATTTTTTTTTTTGTTTCCTTAACATATCTCTGAAAATGAACACCTGGACAATATATATATACATGCATACACACACACACACACACACATATATATATATATATATATATACATATATATACATATATTTGTATATATATATGAACACATAACTACATATATATTTATATCTATATATGTATGCATGTATATTTATACTCATATATATATATATATATATATATATATATATATATATATATATATATATATATGCATATAAATGTATACAGTATATAAGATATATATATATAGATAGATAGATAGATAGATAGATCGATAGATAGATAGATCGATAGATAGATAGATAGATAGATCGATAGATAGATAGATAGATAGATCGATAGATAGATAGATATATATACATATACATATATATATATATAAAGATGAACTAAGTTAAGCGTTGATAATTGTTCCATGTCGAGTCTTTTGAAAATATGGAAATCGCCGTAATGATGACACCTTTATTATAAATGATTTTAATAACAATATTAGGTCTACTCGTACTAATAATAGTAATACTTATACTAACGATAGTAATAGTGAAATAGTGGTAAAATCAAAGACAACTGCAACATTATAACAACAATAATAATGGCAATAATAACGCGTATACAAACTCTACATGCGCAGGGTGCAATTTGAACTAAATAGGGCTGGTATTCCATGCATGAAAATTTGGTCGTACATATTGGCATAAATCTAATATGAAAGGACGGTAATATTAGCGTATCTAGTATTTCCTTTCCTGACCCGGGTTATTGCGTTCAGTTCTATATATTTTAGCTATACTAGTAAAAACTAAAATTCGCTCCAATATTGTACTTACCCAGATCGAGGACATACGTTTTATTTCTTAGGTCAACCAGTGTATTTAATGTAATTGTGATATCGACTGCAGAGTAAAAATAATTAATGATTTCAAAGAATCTTCGCTTTCACTTCTTTTATTTTCCCCTATATCTGCACAACACAACGGTATGAAAAAAAAAAAAAAAGAAAAAAAACGAATTACGCGTATACAAACTCTGCATGCGCAGGGTGCAATTTGAACTAAGTAGGGCTGGTATTCCATACATGAAAATATGGTCGTACATATTGGCATACATTTAATATGAAATGACGGTAATATTAGCGTATCTCATATTTCCTACCGTTTTCTAACAGGCACAGACACGAGAAAAGTTTCCGTTGTTATTCCATATATTTACGATGACACGGGTTATTGCGCTTAGTTATATTTTAGCTAGTAAAAACTAACATTTATTAAGAATTCGCTCCTGTATTGTCTTATCGAGATCGAGGACATACGTTTTATTCCTTAGGTCAACCAGTGTATATAATGTAATTGGGACATCGACTGTAGAGTAAAAATAATTAATGATTTCAAAGACTTCAAAGATTTCAAAGAATCTTCGCTTTCAGTTCTTTTATTTTCCCCTATATCTGCACAACACAACGGTATGAAAACCTTTTGCTTATAGATCACTCTTAGCTTGAGTGATCTCTGAGTAATGCAATATTTTGCACATTCTAACTCCACTACAACTGCCATGCGTTCACTGGACACCTTAGGCTGCTTTCCCACCATGGTGGCACGTCACACTTTAAAACGAAAATAGCATATGAAACCTTTCACACAGAAGTGGAGTGGCACGTCGCATTTGCCACGTGTGCCATGTGTAGGTCACAATCCATAGCAATTTTGTTTACATACATCATATGTGATGTATCAAAGTCAAGAATTTTAAACAATGCGTTTTATATACCTGTATAAGATATATAAAAAATTGTTCTGTTATTTGTTATTTATTATCTACCGACTTGGACGTCATACCCAACCGATCCGTCATTACTATTTCATCGCTACGTTATAGGGTACTGGAAAAGCCAAAGGTATTACTGGATTGACAACCTGTGCTCAAGTCTCCCGGCCGCGATTTTACAATCTGTAGACTAAAGGAGTACATAGACGCCAGGTATCGCTAAATGGATATTAAAAAAAACATAATCAAATAAGCTCAATCTGAAAACTGTATGTTTTATGTAAATGATGTAATTATGATAAATGAAAATCATTTAGCAAATAAATAAATGCTATTAGGATTAAAAGATAAAATTATATTCACGACCACTTTGTTTTACATCCTGTGGTCAAACATACAAATCTTGACCTGTTGATAAAGAATTTATATTACGTCCTCATTATAACTATATCTTATAATATATCGAACAGACTCCCAGTATGAATATAGACAGTTTCGCTAATCTCATTGGCAACACTTCCCGGGCCGTTCGCGGCAGCAACGATGCCAATGTTTCTACGCTGTTGCCAAAGGTTCGACTCCACCCCCGTTCGTAGGAATCGTGCTTAAGTTGACGAATCTGATTTTATTTTTGAATTATGTGAAATTATCATTTACTATTTGACTAATAATACATTAGGAAATAGCAATAAATACAAGTTTTTAGATTTCAACATCTTAAAATTACAAAACGACGAAAATCTATCGAAATCAGTTGAAAATGCGTGGGCCATAAACATTTCCTATCCTACTTTTTCCTTCGTCTACCGACATCAGTTTCGAACGTCACACTTCTTTAAATGTTGTGAAACTGTAAATTTTTATTAGTTGGTACTGAT